TTAAAAATAATAATTAAAAAATAATAATAATAATATTCCCATGATTTTGAGATTCCTAGGAATTTGAATAACACCATGTTGGGTGGTATTCAAATTACCTCAAAATGAGGGAAAGTGAATCCCATGGTAATCACTTTCCTGGAAATCTAAAAATTATAATTCTTGTACCAAACATGGTAATATTGCAGATTCTCATTCTCATCTTTAAGATTACGGTAAACTAAACGCCCCCTAAAAGGCCTAGCTTAACCGGTATATTTCTATTCCAAGGATTCGTTCATGCTTTTTTTCCCCCTTAGCAATCCTATGTCAGTTCATACGAAAGTCATATATTTGAAAAGCGCACAAAAAATATTTCTTTCATACTAAGGATCAGATTTTGCCCCTCTTGAAATCTTTTCATTAGCCATTAAGTTTAGATTTACTAGCTATTGACTCATGCAAGTTCAGTGGCTTTACATCCAGGTGAAGTATGGTTATGTTGATTTACAATGCCACGGAATATAACAAACTACAAGGTGCCAAACTATTTCAAAGTCTTCTATTACCTGCTGAAATTAATGTGCTTTTGGTATGATAAGATGACTTGGTGTTTTCTTTGACAGAATCTGGATTGAGCACTGGTATATGGACAAAATATGTCTGAAGAATCAAGATACCATAGTCCAACTACCACCAGTCTTCTAAGCAACTTCTCTGAGTCGCTTTTAGCGGTTGTGATTTCACTCATCGTTTCGATCTCTTTCTTTATTGCTTATGGTCTCCACCAGGTAGCTATAGACATCAACTTTTAAAACAATTCTTGCAACTTAAATTTGATAGTTATCATGTCCAACATGTTTTCCTGTTTAGCATTGTGTTTTATCTTCCTTTGCCTTCGTATGGAAAATAAATGAGTCTTCTTTGAAATATTGACACGGATATTTCAGCTTTGGATGCAGAAGAGAAAACTTGCTTACGCAAAACATAAGCATGTGATGCCAGGATTTCTGAGTATTTGAAGATGAACTCTCTGGAAAGACTCTTTACAGATGATGGCGAGCCAAATAAAAATGTTAAGAAAAGTTCTTCATCAAAAACTCCAGTTCGATCTCCCACTATTATCTCATTTTAGCTTTAATCTCGTGGAATTTTCTTGCGAGTATATTCATACCAAACTGTTGAGAAGCCTGAAATTGTGATATTCACTCATTATTGAGGTAGTGACCGGTTATTTAAGACAATTGATAGAACTCGGATGGATACTCATCAATAATGATTTGCTGATCTTGATGATGTTGTTTCTATAGTGATGAAAGATTTAGATACATCACAAGAATTATTTCAAAGGTTCACTAAGTGGCTTAACAAGGCTGAAAGTGCTGCTGGTGCACCACGGAAAGACTCTGCAATCAATAAGATTCTTAAATAATTTTGATTTGGTAAGTTCACATTTCTATGAATTTATCTGAATAAGTGCAATTACTTGGATTATACGACATGTCGATAAATTTATTTGCAGCAAACGAAGGGAAGGGAAAATTTGTTGGAGCATCAGAATGATGAGGCTGTGGAGAAAGTTGAAAATCCCATTTCCCGAATATCGAAAGATTAGTCTCTGCATCATTTTCTTGTAATCAGGATACCATCGAGAATTTAACAGCCGCAACTACCATACCTTCATTCTTCATCTCCTTCGTCATTCTGACTTTTGCGAGCTCCAGCGAAATAGTTTCTAATAGAATGAGAGAATGAGGAAATGATAATTCTCTTCATTAATTTGCAAATGAGCAGAGTACCGAATATATAAGGCAAGCTGTCTTTACATCGTGAAGAGGGCACACATCCCAAAGAGGACAACTCAGCTAACAGAAACAGAAAAAATAACAATACACCACAATACACGTTGAGTTTGTTATAGCAGAAATATTAATATGCTAATACTCCCCCTCAAGATGGAGTGTATATGTTGTGAACTCCTATCTTGCCTAAAAGACTATGAAAATGAGAGGGATGAAGGGCCTTAGTAAGATGTCTGCAAGTTGATTGTGTGTAGAAACGTGTAGAGTCTTCAAAACATAGGCTTGGATCTTCTCTCTGACGATGTGGCAGTCGATCTTTATGTGTTTAGTACGCTCATGATAGACTGGATTGGCAGCGATGTGGAGAGCTGCTTGATTATCACAAAAGAGAAGAGCTGGACCAAGGTGATTCACCTGCAAGTCTTTAAGAAGGGCAAGTAACCAAACATTTTCACATGTGACGTTGGCCATGCATCAGTACTCAGCTTCCACAAATGAGCGCGAGACCATAGGTTGTTTATTGGACTTCCAAGAGATGAGAGAGGAGCCTAGAAAGACACAAAAACCAGAGATGGAATGCCTGGTATCGGGGCATTGAGCCCAATCTGAGTCTGCAAATGCCTTGAGATGTGGTGTAGAATTAGAGGAAAAGAAAAGACATTGTCCCGGGGTCCGTTTAATGTATTGCAAGATCTGAAAAGCTGATTGGAGATGTGAAGTACATGGTGTTGGGAATGGTGTCCTAGAAGCATAAGATGTAATATGATATTTATTATTTATTTAATAAAAGAGTTTATTCATTATTTTATGTGCATATATATTTGTGAATATTTTATGAATATCAACGAAAATTCCGTGATTATTTATGTAACCTCAAACATTGTATATAAGTGTTATATACGAGAGGATAATGTTTAAGGATAATAATTAAAAAGTAATGTTCATAATGAATTTAATTAAAGTTCAGAATCTTTAATTAAAACATTATTAATACATGTCATTCCCATTTAGAATGGAACGGTGTTATCCGCACTGTTAATATGGTGAGATATTGAATGAATGTATTTCGCATAATGAGATTATGTGGAACAAGGATACAGACACAATATGAATTTCTAATAATTCCGTTAAGTATAGAAATTCTAACTGAGTCTACCGATGG